CTCCACGGGGATGGCCTGAGATATGGCAATAGGCTTTGGGAGCACACCCTGGGTACGATCCACACCCATTTTGTCAACTATAAGGTGGACTTGGACGTGGGAGGTAGGTCTGGATGTTTTCTCTGCTTTTTAAAAAGTTCTCTCCAAATACCTTTAGACTGAAAAAACTTTACTTTTTTGGTGGTTATATAGGTTTTCCTTTCCATTTGTGGGGCAGGGTGATGTGCTTGTAGTGGGGGGGTGGCAGAACTGCAGGAACAGTGAGAAGGCAGATAAAATCAGACTGTCACTGTTTATTCTGACAGGGAAGGTGTGGGCTTAGAAGTTTAGTTCATGTGAGAAAAAGAAAGGAATTTAGCTCCGCTGTGCGTGGATCTTCTTCTGTGGGGCTCAAGGCTTCACAGATGTCCATAGGTTCAGCTCTGAAATAGCTTTTATGAAAGCTGAGAATTCACATGTTAAAGGAACAGAACACAGAGGGGCTTCATGGTGGGACAGGCAGGAGGTGCTGGGGCATAATCCCTCTGCCAGACCTGCACAGGCACTGGCCATGAAATGCTCTCAGCAACTTTTTGCCACCTTGTCTCCAGACTGATTTGCTCCCATGCCACTCCTGTTGCTCCAAATCTTGGGCCCATGTCTCTTCTTTGTGGCAGGGCCTGAGAACAGCACAACACTGATCTTGTCTGTGATGTGCAAATGTGTGCAGCACCCAGGCTGCTCCAGGTGCCCCACTGTGCAGGATGAGCAGTACCAAAGCTTGTGCTCTACTTAATTAGACTATGCTTGCATGGGAGACAAACCTGTTCTCCTGCCCTGGGGTGAGGCTCATCCCTTGTCCCCTCTTGTCTCTCATAGCATCTGCTGCAGAGTGGTGCTGCCCCGCTTGGACAAGTGTCCAGCCATAGTTCCACACATGGGTGTTGTCATGGCATGTGGAGCTGAGGAGCAGCAACTGCTCCTGGACTGGGTCGGTGCTCAGAGCCCAGGGTGCAGGGAGGGAGAACAGGGGGAGCAGGCACTCTGATGTCCTTGGGGAACAGGACACTGTGGGGACTCTCCTCAGTGACTTTGTTTTGGCTTCGCAGGGGTGAAAAACTCCCTCGTGGCCCATGACATGGCATTTGAGATGACACGGGCTCCCTGGAGCCCAGAGCAGCAGATAGAGCGGCCACGACTCACCAAGAAAGTCCTGGACACAGAAGACCAGGCTGCCTTCCGGCTCCACTCCAAGATGCCCAGATACATCTACTTCGCTGCCAACAGCAAAAACAAGTGGGGCCACCAGCGCGGCTACAGGATCCAGATCAGCAGCTTTGCAGGGGACCACATCCCTGAGGCCAGTTCCATGGAGAGGGCCATCAGCTGGGCAAGGTCAGGCTGTTCTGGCTGGCATGGCAGGTTCTCAGAGACCCCCTCAGCCCTGCCAGCTGCAAAGGCATTGCTGGATGTCCCTTGATGGGAGGCACAGGGAAGTGCTCTTCTGGGTTTGCTCCATCTGAGCAGGCCTGTGCTCTGCAGACTTTCAGGAGCTGATTTAGCTCTGCCCTGCCTCGGGGGCTGCTCTCCTCTCTTTTCTTGTCCTCAGGTATCAGCTGGCTGTCACCCGGAGGAAGGAGGAGGAGCCCACCAGCACCAGCATCTACAACCAGAATGACCCCTGGATGCCCACTGTGGCCTTTGCTGACTTCATCAACAACGAGACCATCACCAACGAGGTAAGCTGGGGTCCCTGGGATGGAATTTAACACCCTGCCCAGGCTCAACGGGAACCCCAAGGAGCAGAGAGACTCCAGCACCATCCCTGGGACAATGGGCCCAGATTTGAGAGCAGCAGCCCAGAGGAAAGAGGAAATTTGGTTTGAGCATCCCCTTCTCTGTGTGTCTGCTTGGTACTTTGGTCAGAGAACATAGAGAGTGTGTGCAGAGCAGAAGCTTGTTTCTCCATGTGGAGAAATGCTGGCAAAATGTCATTAAAATCTCTGTGAGACCAGAGTGAGGCCATGGAGGTGAAGGCAAGGGCCCTTCTGCTGGGTGGATATCTGCTGCCATGGCTGTGGCAGGTCTTTGGGGAAGGGAGGAGCTCTTTCCCAGGAGAGGGAGGGCTTGGTGTGTGGGAATGCAGCCAGCTTTTGCCCGTTGAGGTCCCCCTCCTTCTCTTCTGTCACTCCCCACTGCCCCACATGTATTTTGGTCACTGCTGCTGCAGCTTCTGAAGTAATTCTGGGCTTGTGGCTCTTCCCTGTCTAGGACCTGGTTGCCTGGATAACTGCTGGCTTCCTCCATATTCCGCACTCTGAGGATATTCCCAACACTGTGACCGTGGGAAACTCGGTTGGTTTTCTCCTGAGGCCCTACAACTACTATGACATGGACCCCTCGATATACTCCCACGATGGTGTGTTTTTCACCAGCGAGCAGGACTTTACAGCATGTGAAATCAACCCTCTTGCCTGCTTGCCCAAAACTGCTTCTTGTTTGCCAAACTTCCCCCCATTCACCTATGATGGTTTTCGAAATATGAGCAGGCTTTAATGCTACAGGATGGTGAGATGTGGTCAGAGACACCAGGCTGACTGTTCTGTCTCCGATTTTCAGCTTTTTAGTGAAGTTGTCTCAATTTTCAGTTGTCCAGTGACTTCACATTTTATCATGGCTTTTGAAATAGTGCTCTTGAAAAGGGAAACGTGATTTTCCTAGTATGAGGTGAGATGGAAGTCTCTGTTATCTGTTAATTCCTGAATTTGAGTCTATTGCCAGAGGAAAGTCAGGAGAGGATCCTGTTCCTCTGCTGTAGAAGCAAGTGCTGTGTAGTGCATATCTCAGGTTAAAATAATGAAAATGGTGCTGGTCCAACTCTCTCAAGTGTCTCATTCTTACAACTTTCAGCAGCATCTCCTGGGGGATGATGCTGCTCTCTGCCATGTTTGCTGTGCCCACAAAGCAGCCCAGCAATGTGGCTCTGGGTGTTGTCAGGGCACGGGGACGTCCAGCTGGAGTGCAGGAGGGACAAGCTGGGGTGGAGGTGGGCACTGGCACCAAGCCCTGTGGCCGTTTGGGGGAGGCTGGGTCATGGCCAGGACTGTGTGGGTTGTGGCTCTCAGGCCCTCAGTGCTGGGCACAAGGGGGGGATCTGGACAGGACCTTGCAGGGGAAGGAGTTTCATGGCTTTAATGGTTTCACCTTTCATGGCTGCTGGTGATGCAGCATGGCCAGTGCCCCTGCCTGTTTTCCAGGATACTGGCTGGGCTCTGACACCCCTGATCCCCTCCTCGCAGCCCCATCAGTGCTAGGCTGTAACTCGGGATGAGTGGACACCTTTGCAAGGTGACAAACAGCTGTCCCCTCTCTCCTGGCTGCAGGACCATGGGGATGTTGGCAGTAGCAGTCAGTGCTGCTTGGTGATGGCAGGGCTGTGTCAGTGGTGCTGTGTTTAGCACTGCTCTGCACAGGGAAGCTTTATCTCTACAGCCACTGCTGCCTGCCCAGCATCTGCAGGGTTAAGAGAAGGAGGAGAAGGGAGAATGTGCTTATTTTCCCTACGTGACTGGATCCATCCACTCCAAGCTCTGGGAGTAGGATCTGAGACCAGAGGGGAAGGACAAATGTACAAACACTGAGTTTACTTAAAATTATGGCCCTCTAGGGAAGCAGAGCAATGTTGCCTTTTATAGTTCCCAGCAAATCCTGACATGTGTGAGAACATCCCCTTGCACCCTCCCTGTGAGTAGCTCCAGGCTGTCTCTGCTGAGGAAACAGGGGAGGAAAATAAACCCCAGCCAACCCAGCCCCTTGTTCTAGTGAGTGGCTGGGAGGATTCCACAGCTGGAAATGTGTCCTGCCAGACTGTGGGAGCGCTCAGTGCCCCAGCAGGCATGAGCCTAAAAACCGTGCTCGTCCTCCTTGGTCTGGCCTTAGCCACAATCTTCGCCTTGGTCTGCGTGTTGCTGACCAGAGAAAGGACCCCCAGAAGCTGCCAGCACCTGCCCCCAGAGCAGGAGGACATCGAGGATGGCCAGAGCCTGGTGTTTGCTGACCTGACACCCGAGGAGATGTCCCAGGTGGTGCGGTACCTGCAGGGACACCTCGGGGTGCCGCTGGTGGAGGCCTCCCGTGCCAAACCCTCGGACAACTGCATCGCCTCCGTGGATCTGCAGGTCCCCGCCAAGGCAGAGGTGCTGCGGTTCCTGGACGGCGGCGGGGCTCGTCCCCCCCGGGAGGCTCTGGCTGTGCTGTACTTTGGGAAGCAGCCAGAGCCCAACATCAGCGAGTACGTGGTGGGGCCGCTGCCGGGGCCGGCGTACCACCGGGACGTGACGGTGCAGAAGTACGGGGGCAAGGTGCCCTACCACCGCAGGCCCGTCACTGGCAAGGAGTACGTGGACATCAACGCCCTCATTCAGAGGGAGCTGAAACAGGCGCCGCGCTTCCTCGCTGCGTGCTGCGAGTCTGACGGCACCAACCTGGTCGCCCTCACCACAGCCCCACGGGGCTTCAAGTCCGGTGACCGCGTGACCTGGTTTGTTCTTTTCCACAACGTGGCTGGCACCGGCTACTACCTGTCCCCAGTGGGGCTGGAGGTGCTGGTGGACCACGGGGACCTCCACGTCTCCCGGTGGAAGCTGCACAAAGTCTTCTACAGTGGCCGGTACTTTGCCAGCACGGGGGATCTGGAACAGGAGTTTGTGGCCGGTGCGCTGGAGGTTGTCAGGCTGAAGCAGCCCCAGGCTGATGCAGTGCTGGGCTCAATGAAGCCCCGGTGCCCGCCTGGGTCCCCGGGCCCGCTGCAGTTTGAGCCGCAGGGTCCCCGCTACAGCGTCAGGAACAACCGCGTCACCTTCCAGGGCTGGAGCATCGCCTTCGGCATGAACCCCAACACCGGCCCGCGCCTCTTTGACATCAGGTACCGTGGGGAGAGGATTGTCTATGAGCTGAGTCTCCAGGAAGCCTTAGCCCTGTACAGCTCCAACTGCCCTGGGGGAATGTCCACCCGCTACCTGGACGGCAGCTTTGGCATCGGCCGCTTTGCCTACGAGCTGATCCAGGGCCTGGACTGCCCCTACACAGCCACCTACGTGGACCGGCACTACCTGGCAGAGACAGATACCCCCAAAACCAACCAAAACTCACTCTGCATTTTTGAGCATGACTCTGCCCTCCCTCTCAGGCGCCACTTCTCTGACTCACAGTCCTTCTACTACGGCGGGCTGCGGAAGAACACGCTGGTCATCCGTACCATCTCCACACTCATTAACTATGACTACATCTGGGACTTCATGTTCCACGCCAACGGGGCTGTGGAGGTCCGGGTGCATGCCACTGGCTACATCAGCTCCTCCTTCTTCCATGGCCGAGGTACTGACTATGGCAACAGGGTTGGGCCCCACACGCTGGGGACGATGCACCTCCACCACATCCACTACAAGGTGGACCTGGATGTTGACGGTAGGTCTGGCCACCTTTGTGCATGGCTGTGGTTACTGTGGCCTGGGGTGCAGAGCTTGAGCGGGTTTTCTCTTCTGTTTCACAGGGCAGCTGAACTCCCTGGAGACCCAGGATATGGAGTACCAGTTTGTCAAAGATCCCTGGAGCACACAGAACACCATTGAGCGGCCATACCTCCGCAGGGAAAGGCTGGAGAAGGAGGATGAGGCAGCATTCCCACTCAATGTCCCCATGCCCCGGTACCTCTCCTTTGTCAGCCCCAATCCCAACAAGTGGGAGCACCCACGCAGCTACCGGATCCAGATCATCAGCTTTGCTGGGAAGCACCTGCCCACCAACAGCTCCATGGAACGAGCTGTCAGCTGGGGCAGGTGAGGCCTCAGCTGCTCCTGCTCCTGGTGGAGGGAGGCTCTCACCCCTGGGCAGGCCTGCACCAGGCAGGGAAGGGTTAAACAGCAAACATTTGTAGCTTTTGGCTCTGAAATTTCCTTGAGATGTTGCTCAAGAACATCTGCTAATGGCAGTTCACAGGCAGGAGTCTGAGGCCTTTGTTGCAGGGGGTTGTAGGCACATTTGAGCCTGCAGAATGAATTCCCAAGGGAAGCACTGGCATTGCCAGGTTGTGGTATCTTCCCAGGAGGACAGAATGCCTTTTGGAAAATGCTTGGGATAAGCACAGAGCAGTCTCACTGCCAGGGTGAACTGATGGAGCTCATTCTGGGGAAGTCTGTGTGGGGAAGCAGCTGTGGCTTAAGGGAGTGCATTGGGCATTGAGTGGCAGCGTTTGCACCTGGATCCATCCATGCTAGAAAAGCCACAGGCAGCAAAGGATTCCCCACAAAGCTTGGAGATGCTGGGGCTGCTGCCCATTACTGCTCTCTTGGCCCTTTCCCTCCCTGCCCCAGGGCAGACCGGGGATGTCCAGCCCCAGTTTGGCAGCACATCCCAGCTGGCAATGCCATGGCTGGCGTGGATGAGCCCCTCTGACCCCTGTGCTGGCAGGTACCAGCTGGCTGTCACCCGGAGGAAGGAGGAGGAGCCCACCAGCACCAGCGTCTACAACCAGAATGACCCCTGGACGCCCACTGTGGCCTTTGCTGACTTCATCAACAACGAGACCATCACCAACGAGGTAAGCTGGGGTCCCTGGGATGGAGAGAAGCTGAAGCTTGTCAGGCCATCCTGGCTCATGCCCTGGAGAGAAGCTGCAGCCGTCCCAGAGCCAGACTGAGCAGCTGATGGGCTGGCAGAGCCCTGCTCAGCCTGACAGATTCCTCTTCTCGCAGGACTTGGTTGCCTGGATCACTGTGGGGTTCCTGCATGTCCCTCATGCTGAAGACATCCCCAACACAGTGACTGTGGGGAATGGTGTTGGCTTTTTCCTGAGGCCCTACAACTACTTCAACGAGGACCCCTCGGTGGATTCCTCTGACAGTGTCTACTTCAGCAGTGAACAGGATCTCGGGGCATGTGGGGCCAATCCTCTCGCCTGCCTGTCCTCCGCTGCCACCTGTGCCCCCCGCCTGCCTCCCTTCCACTTTGGGGGCTTCCTCAACCTCAGCCTGGCACCGCCTCTTGGCGGGCTCTGATGGGCCAGGGGCTGCTGCTGGCTCTGGGGTGGGCACTCAGGGGGGCTCTGTCCCACAGCAGGACCTGCCCTCCCCCTGCCCAGGGCGTCCGGTGCTCGGGGTTGGGTTTTGGGAGAAGCTCAGTGCACTGCAGCACTGTCAAAGGAGGACTCAAAGCCTCTGAAAGACAGCCCCTGGGAGTGATTTTTTAATTTCATCCTGGATGTCAGCCTGTGTACTGTGGGGTGCCCACAGCCACTTCCCTCCTCTGGGATGGGGCATCCACCACTTTCCCATCATCAGTGCACACAGGGTGACAGTGCTGGCCAAGGCTGCAGCTGCCCTTGGAGCCGTGTTCCACCTGAGGTTTTGCCCACAGTGGCAGGAGTGAGTGGTGTGGTGTTGGTGTGGATGCCCAAACCTCCTCCCCAGCCACGGCACCAAGCCCTGGCTGCTGCTGCAGTGCCAGCTCTGCAGAGGAAGGGCAGCAGGAGCTGCCTGACCACGCAGGCTCCCATTGCTCTGGGCTTGCTGGGAGGCTGCTGGAGGAGCCCCTGGCTGGGGCTCCAGACGGGCACTCCCCGGGCTGGGCTGCCCCTGTCTGCCCTCCCCAATAAACAGGCACTCGAGTGCTTTTCCTGAACAAACTCACGGGTGCTGCTCTGTCTCCTGTGGCCGGGGCCAGAGCCCAGCACGGCTGAAGTGCTGTTAGGGATGGTCCTGGCTCAGATCTGTGGGGGTCCGAGGGCTGTGGGGCCACCCCAGTGCCTGCCCCGTGCCCGGCATGGCTGTGTGACTTGTCCTGGATGCTCCTGGACCCCGCTGCTGGCAGGAGGCTCCGGCCAGGGAATATGGAGCAAACAAGGGAGTTAATGTTTAACACTTGTTCCGAGCTGTGTTAATCAGTTCTGGGCTTGGCTGCAGCCCAGCCCTCTCAGCCCCCCTGTGTGGGGACCCTTGGTTCTGCTTCCTTAGCTGCATGTGCAGCTCTGGGCTGCAGGATCCCACAGCCCACAGGACCCCTCCCCACCGTGCCAGGCTGGCATGGGGACGCCAAGAAGCTTGGTGAGACCAGTGCCAGCCCTGGCCCATGGCTGCAGATACTAAACACTCACCAAAGTGTCCCTGGGAGCATGGTGGGTGTCCATCCCCCCTGACCCCTCGCTGTAGTGGATGGGTCTGTCCAGAAGATGCTGTGAGGGGCTTGAGGAGCACTAAAGGCTGTGGCACATGCCCCAGGAGCTGGCCCAGCTTGCTGCAGCACATGGGAGAGTGATGGGAGGAGAGGGCAGCTCAGGCCATGGCTCAGTGTGAGGCTGCAGTGGTCCCTGGGTGCCCTGGGGTGACATCAGGGGCTGGCCCAGAGGAGGAAGGTCGTGTCCAGCCAGCTCCCTGCCCCCTGTGTGCCCACATGTGCAGCGCTGCCCAGACTCTGCTCTGACGCAGTGACCACGCTGCCACAGCCCAGCCTGGACCTTGCAGCTGTCAGGAACATTCTGGAGCAAACACGGGCACTCCACGTGGCACGCTGCAGCCCCCACGGGTGCTGCACTGGCCAGAGCTGCATCCAGAACCTTGGGAATCACGGGCACGCCGTGTCCCAGGGCCAGCTGCTGCCACAGCACTCACACAGCTCCTGGGCTGCCAGCTGAGCCTGGGCCTGCTGTGTACAGACCAGGGCACAAGCTGGGCTCCCCCGGCCTGGCCCCACTCCTTCCCTGGGAAGGCACATCCCCAGCGGTGCTGCTGGCAGGGCTGCACGGTGCAGGGGACGAGCGGGACCCTGAGCAATTGTCAGAGCAGCCAGAATGCAGAACCCTGCATGCCCAGGCAGCTCCTGCTGCCCTGCCCTGCCCCAGGGCCACACAGTGACTTTGGGGCTGGGGATTTGGCATGTGCAGCTGGCACTGCCCAAACACACTGAGGTACTGGGCTGAGCCCCTCTGTGCTGGGAGGGAGGATGTGACTGCTTCCATCCTGCTCTCACCCCCCTATGGCCCCAGTTATCCTGCAGTGACTTTTTCCTAGGGGACTGGAGTGCTTATCCCCATGGCCAACACTTTTTGCCCCAGTTTCTGCTGTGAAATTTCCTGTGAAGGATTTATTGCTGATAGTTTCAAAATATTTTTGGAGGAGAAGCCAAGTATGTTGCATTCCTTCACGCTGGCCAAAGCCACTCTCAGTTGAAGACCCTGGAATGAACTGTTGGGGAATTTGCTTTGCAAGAGTAATTCTGTTTCTGTGCAAACTTCTGTTTTGTTGGGATGTTTTGCAGGTCAGGAGCTCAGTCCAGGGTCTGGGACCACCTTCCTTGGGTGCAGCACGGCCAGGCTAGATAGGACATGCCTGCAGCAGGGCTGAGGCTGTGGCCTTTGCTGCTTTCCTCCCAGGCCATCCCAGGGAGCAAGGTTTGCTGGTGTTCTGCCTGTCAGACCCCATGGCTCCCTGGGCTCTGCATGGGCAGAGGGGCAGGATGGGGCCTGTAACTCCTGCTGTTTGTCAGCAGGACTCAGCACTGGACACAGCTCTCACAGAGACAAACAACATAGGGCAGGGGTTCAAGGATCCTGACATGAATTTTCTCAGGAGGGAGATAAGTGATGCATTTCACTGGCTGTTGATCATTAATGCCTTGCTGTCTGCTCAGCTGTGCTGCTGCTGGCTGGGCACCCTGTGCTGCTGCCACAGGGCAGTGTCCAGGCACTGGCAGCTGTGGATGGTAAGGCTGCAGTGCCAGCACTGCTACCAGGGACAGCAGAGTGCAGCTGGGGTGGAGGGGATGGCCGTGGGCACCACAGGATGAGTTCTGTGTTTGGCTCTGTACCCACAGCTGGGGTCTGATGGGGCAGGAGGGATTAACCCAGTGGAGCAGTGCTGGGAGAAGAAGTGCAGTCCCTATTTGCAAAGGTCCTTCAGCCCCCCACTAGAGATCAGAAGAACACAATTGGCAGCCAGGAGCATCCCAGGCCTGGCTGTCTGGGACTGCAGGGACCTCCAGGAATAGCTTTGAAAGTTTCCCATTATGCAAAGTCCTGGTTAAATTAGCCTGGCAAATGAGGAGGGGGTGGGCAGTCTGCCCTCTGCTCCATGCACCCACTCCACACTCCTGGGCATCCTCACCATGCTCAGGTGGTGATTCACGGGGGGATGGCAGAGAGAGCAGAGCAGTTGTCAGCCCTGGACAGGGCAGCTCCTCAGGGCTGGCACACACAGAGTGTGGGATAATGGAGCCAGGGCTGCGTGTCAGTCAGAGCAGCTGGGCTGTTGTAGTGGGTAGCTGGAGGAGCCAGGGCTGCAGGATCCCCCTGGGCAAGGGCATGGTGAGGGGCAGGGGATGGGTGTTGGGGTTGGAGCACTGCACTCCACGTGCCCTCGGGACCTGTTCTCCCCTTTTACGTAAGCTGTTCCAAACATGTTTGCTACAACCCCCTGGTGATGTACCTTTGGAAAGAGTGGTTTTGGGTCCAAAGATCAGTGCTGGGACAGTGACCTGCCTGCTGCAAACAAGACCCTGCAGAGTATAAAACCCCAGTGGCACAGTGGAGCACGGGACAGCCAGAGGCACGCCGAGGGCAGCAGAGGAGGATGGAGGCCAACATGAACCTCCTGCACGACGTGGGCATCCGGACCACACACTGGCTGCAGCAGCACTTCCAGGGCTCCCAGGACTGGTTCCTCTTCATCTCTTATGCTGCTGATCTCAGGAATGCTTTTTTTGTCCTCTTCCCCATCTGGTTCCACTTCAGCGAAGCAGTGGGCATCAGGCTCATCTGGGTGGCTGTAATTGGAGACTGGCTCAACCTCGTCTTCAAGTGGTGAGTAGCCCCAAGCCAACACTCCCACCGTGTGTTGGCACACCTGGATTAATGTAGGTGCTCTCAGCCCCACCTGTGCTACTCTGCTGGAGTAGAACAAAGAGCAGCTGGGCAGTGACAATGGTCACTCCTTCCCAAGCCATGCAGCAACAGCTCTTCCCCTCTGCTCCAAGCAGAGATGGAGCCTCCTGCAAACAGAGCCTCCTATCAGCCAGGGCTGTGGTGCTGAGTGGGGGGATCTTTACAGAGCTCCTCACCACAGAACATCATATTGACCTGTCCCAGGAAGTTCTTGGTCTTCCCCCTCAGGGCTGGGGGACATGGACAGGCAGTGTCAGCTGTCAGAACCAAGGAACCAGCTGGGTGCTCTATCTGTCAGGATGCCCTGGACCATTTGTGGGTCTTTTGCTTCTTCCATGTCCCAGGACAGATCTAAAGCTGCAGTTATGTCCTGGACCTCCCCAGATCCCTTCTCTTTTCTTTTCAGGATCCTCTTTGGGGAGAGACCATACTGGTGGGTCCTTGACACAGACTATTATGGCAACAACTCTGCACCAGAGATCCAGCAGTTCCCGCTCACCTGCGAGACTGGCCCCGGTAGGGTTCCCCAGGCCATGGAAGGGGCTTGTAGCCAGGGGCAGGGGCTGCTTGCCCATGGTGACCTGAGCAGACAAAGAGGGGGGTGCTGGCCTGGTCTGCCTGGCAGTCTGCAGGGAGCATGAGGCCCTGGGGACGCCCTTGCTGCTGTGCTCCTGGGGACGCTGGCTGTGCCTGCAGGGGAAGGAGGCAGCTCCTGCACGGAGCAGACCTTGACCCTTGGCGAAGCTGTGGTGGGTCAGCACAAACCCCTGCGGGTGCTCAGCTCTGGCCCATGCAGAGTCTGACCTGGGTCTCTCTTCTTGCCCAGGGAGCCCATCTGGCCATGCCATGGGTGCAGCAGGCGTGTACTATGTCATGGTGACAGCCCTCCTCTCTGCTGCTGGGGGAGAGAAGCAGTCAAGGACACTCAGATACTGGTAAGCTGTGTAGCTGTGTGCCAAAACCACCTGTGCCAGGCAGAGGCAGCTCCAGCACTGACAGGCACAGCCAAGCCCATCAAGGCACAGGGCTGTGGACTGACAGCTGGGGTTTGCATGGAGACAGGCTCAGTGACAGCCAGGCATTGTTTGGAGCATGTGATGGCAGTGCCACGGGCAGTGCAAGCTGGCCCTGGCACTGATGTGGCCACCCGTCCCTCACAGGGTGCTGTGGACAGTGCTTTGGATTGGGTTCTGGGCAGTCCAGGTCTGCGTCTGCATGTCCCGAGTCTTCATTGCTGCTCACTTCCCCCACCAGGTGATTGCAGGGGTTTTCTCAGGTTTGTATCAGCTCCCCCATCCCTTTCCTACAGCAGCACAGTGCTGGACTGCAGTACCTGCAGCACTGACCAGTGCTCCCACTTTGTTACTGGCAGGGATGGCTGTGGCCAAGACCTTCCAGCACGTCCGCTGCATCTACCAAGCCAGCTTCCATCGGTACCTGGGCATCACCTTCTTCCTCTTCAGCTTCACCCTGGGTTTCTACCTGCTGTTGTGGACATTCGGCGTGGACCTGCTCTGGACGCTGGAGAAGGCACAGAAGTGGTGCAGCAACCCCGAGTGGGTCCACATTGACACCACCCCCTTTGCCAGCCTCCTCCGTAACCTGGGCATCCTCTTCGGGCTGGGGCTGGCCCTCAACTCCCACCTGTACCAGGAGAGCTCCCGGCTGAAGCAGGGCCAGCAGCTGCCCTTCCGCCTGGGCTGCGTCGCTGCCTCCCTCCTCATCCTCCATGTCTTCGATGCCTTCAAGCCACCCTCGCACATGCAGCTGCTCTTCTACGCCCTCTCCTTCTGCAAGAGCGCGGCCGTGCCGCTGGCGACTGTCGGCCTCATCCCCTACTGCCTCTCCCAGCTCCTGGCCACGCAGGACAAAAAGGCTGCCTAAGGCCGCAGACACCCCAGGGTGCCCTCAGGGGCAGCTACCAGGCCCTGGGTGCACCTCAGCCACTGTTTGCTTCCCCCTGAGTCTGCACAGGCTGATTCTGCACTGGGAGCAGACCATGGAGGCTGGGCTAGTGGTGCTGCTGGGTGGCTCCCACAACAGGGACCCACAGTGCCAGTCACGCTGGGCTGGGCCTGGCTGATGGCACAGAGAGCCCTGCATGCTCACAATTCCCCTGCTGTCCCTCCTGCACCCACAGGTGGGGGTCACCTGCCCAGGACCCAGCAGCAGCAGCAGCAGTGGGAGGTCCTGCACTCCCTTGCAGCCCGTGGGGACAGGCCACCTCCGTGCTGCAGGGCTGGGGACAGCACCATTGGCAGCAGGGCCCTCACCTTGGCGTGTCTGGGCTCTGCTGAAGAGGCAGCTCTGCCAAAGGAAGGGCAGGCTGTGACATGGAGATCAAGTGCCTGTGTGAGGGACCCCCAGCCCTGGGACGTTTGGTGTTCACCTCAGTGTGGTCAGTGTGGGGTGCACACACCCCTGTGTGTACACGCATTACATGTGTCTGGGAGGGGCTGTGCACAGGTGTTTTATTAAAGCTGAAGGTTGTTTAGTTTGTGAGTTTGAGTGTCCTGCCTGCAGATGGAGGAAGGACATTTCTACTGGGGGCTGAAGACCCTCAACATCTGCAAGACATGTTCAAGCCACTGGGAAGGGCACTGCCTAGTGCCCTGGGTCTTTATCTTTTGCCCTGAGGTGCAGCTGAACACTGACAGCACAGGGGGGGCAATGAGCTGCTTTTTGTGCTGTTTATCCAAGGTTTTTGGGTGCACTTTGTGCCAGGAACAGGGACAAACTTGTGTCACCTCACTGCTTACAGAAACAAGCTCAGCTTTGGGACCAACTGGCTCAGTTGGGGCTGTGCTGAGGTGTAGGGGACAGAAGCAGCATTTTGCCTTGGTGTGGAGTTGGGGTCACGCCCCTCCCACCTCAGGACCCCAGCCCAGTGCTCACCTGCAGCAGGAAGTCCTGTGGGCCCGCCAAGCTGTGCAGGCTGTTCAGCCCAGCTATCAACCTCCTCAGGAAACATCCTCCCTCAGTCTGAGACAGTCCAAAATACACAGGGAGGTGCAGAGACTTTGTTCCTGCCAGACTCTGTGTGCATGTGTAGGAGTGCTCCCAAAGCACCACCCCTGCAGCTCTGAGCCCACACCCAGTGCCAGGCCTCAGTGGTGGTCCCTGTGTCCTGATGCCATCCCAACAGCTCAGCCAAGGCTGTGGCCATGCAGCAGTCACAGCAGCCATGGGTGGGAACCTGATCTACTGGGGCTGCTCCCATCCCCATGTTCATGACAGATAAACTTCCTTAGGATGGAGGTTTCTTTCATGACAGATAAACTTCCTTAGCATGGAGGTTTCTTTTATTCTGTTTCTCTATTTATTACCAACACCTGGAGTAAACCTGTCATGCCATTTATAGCAAGAAAGGGAAGGGTAAATTCTCAAATTACCTGTTAAGCCCCGTTGTGGCTCCAGAGTGCCCTTAAGTTCCTCCAGAGGAGACTGCAGCAGCTCCAGGACTTGCCTGGGCAGGAAAGGTGAGCTGAGGGAACACCAGGGACAGCTCTGCCTGATCCTGAGGGAGTTTACAGCTGCATCAGCCCAAGAAACTACTGATGGTCAAAAAACGACCAGAAACAACTGCACCCCACCAAGGGAAAGGACTTGGTATGTGGTGAGGAATGATCTCGTGCCTGTTGGGTACCTGCTCTCCCTTACAGCTGCTCTCTGCCCTTGTCCAGCCCAAGGTGCCCTTGCCCAGCCCAGCTGCCTCTTGCTTGAGGGTTCGTGCCAAGCAATTCCTCCTCAGCAACTGGCACAAAACAAAATACCCCAAAGTACTGCCAGCAGGCGGCCCGTTCTGGGTTTGGGAACTCTACAAAGTGGTTCACTAAGGACTACTTTAATCCCTGCACCATTTGTCTTGAGAAATGAGCCCTTGCAGCAAAGCCTTGATGGCAGATCCCCTCCCCATTTCTGCGAGCAGCCCACGCAGAGCATGTGCACACCAGCTGTTGGGTTCAGGTCTTTATTCTCTGGTAGAGAAGCTAGTGCAGCCTATGCAAACAAATGTAAGACAAACCTACTCTGAGAATTGTTTCTTATGCTCCCGGGTTTTGGTTGCTAATGAATTCCTGGAGCAGAGCTTGCACTTCTCCTCGCCGGCTCATCTTGGCTGCCTTGCCCTGGAAGCGGCCGCGCTTCCCAGCTCCTTTCCCACCCAGCAGTTCTGCCACCCTGCAGCAACAACAGCACAGGCTGGAGCCAACCTGCTCCAGACAGCACACACACATCTGGGCCTGCATCACACTGTGCAGCTGCTCAGTCTGCAACATCAGACTTCTTATTCGAGTTAAACAAATCAAAAACCACGTTACCTGGGACCTAAATTTTCAACTGCTTCGACAGGTCCAGCTAGAAGGAAGAGTCCTGCTTCTTTTTCATCTCCCACTGTCAGGAATAGCAGGGTTTCCTGTGGACAAAGATGGGCCTTGCTCCAGATAAGTCAGTGCTCTCCTCATCCAAGAAGAGGACAGACACTGGCCAGAGGACACAAACAGCAAACTGACAATTTGGAAGTCTATGTGCATTACCGAGACTGAGACTGCTTGAAAAAAGTAAAAGGGAAGTGGCATGTGAGCCTTTTGTGCCCAGTCATGTGCTGTTGGGACACAACAGTACTGGGGTATCCCAAGTTAAAAGGATACAGTTGGCAGTTGAACTAGGTGATTGTGACTGAACCCTTCTTTCTATTCTACTGCTACCTAATCCTGTCCTAACCCATTTCAGCCAGTGAAGCTCTGTACAGCTCTTGGGGGCTAAGGCTCTTCTCCAGTGCTCTGAATTCTCACTGTTGAGGACTGCCCTACAGACTGAGGCTGCTGGGGACAGGTAACCTCAGGTACCTGTCACAGGAATGAGATCTGCAGATCATGACTGTGGCAGGAACAGCAGCCTGGCCAGCCCCTGTCTGTGTATAACTGGGGTGAAAAACCAGTGGTGCCAGTTTAGTCTTCATCAGTGACTCACCTCTGTCCCAATCTCATTGGCAATGATGTTCATAAATTCAGAATCACCCTCTTTCCTGTATGGATGGATTAAAAAAACACTTCAGAAAGAGGCAAAAACCCCCTCTAGAGTACAAAATCTCAATCAGAAACCAAGTGCCTGATGAGGATTTTGGCCTTTTGCTCTTATCTATATATGTAAATCCTCGCTGGGCACTCCTGTAGACACTTTAGGAATTATGCAAGTGTTATTTTTAAGAAATAGAGCTCCCTGGTACTACTTGAAAATATCAAGTGCAGAGGGAATTAGATGGACACAGTAATTTCTCAGCTCCAGCACCAGAAGAATTTAGTGAGTGAATTACAGATTCCTTTAATTGCACAACTTTGCAGCAGGCCAAGTCTGTTTAATATTCTATTTACTTTGTTTACACCCTTCCTTGAGAAAACAAACTGCACAAGTGCGAGAGATCCAGCTGCCATAAAACATGTGGGATACTGTTGGTCCCTCTTTCCTGAGTTCCCCATACCTGTGCAGTACAAACAGCTGCTTTGGAGTAGGTTTGTTCTTGAAGTCCCGGGCTATCAAAACAGCAATGTCTCTAAGCAGGTTCAGGTTATTCTGAAAGAAAAGGAAATGAAATGTACTGCAGGTGGAGAAGTCAGTGTGAACACAGCTGTGTTCCCAGAGGTTTGAGCACTTTTCACAATATCCAGAAAAACTGAAGCCAATGATTTGACTCCCAGTTACCACAACTGGTCTACAGGAAGTAGTGATAACCCACTTTTCCCAGACAATCTTGTACCTTCTGGAGCAGCTTCACAGAGCTCTGCAGTCTCTTCACAGCCTCTACGTGCTCACCTGGTCCATTTCTGAAAGAAATGGGAGACTTTGGATGACTACTCTGAAGGACAAAGGAAGGATTTCCTAAAGGAGCAAAACGGGCAATATCACACACAGCCCTGAGGCTTATGTGGTATCTCTCAGGAGGAAGAGTGAAAATGAAATAACAGAAGTGGAAAAGGCATTACTTGAGCAGGGAGGTTAGAGCCTTCTCAGTACTGTGACTTTGTTCAATTGACTTCAGCACTCTGTTTCCTGCCAAGAAGACCAAGTTGGTTTTGTTCTTTTTCCCTTTTTCCACACCAAGGAGTTTAATAACCTTAAAAAGAAAATCAACCTGGTCAGATCAGCGTTTTAGTAATTCACATAGGTGGTCAGTTCCTGCCAGATTATGCCCGATGGTGAATATTGACTCTCTGCTTGTGAAAATAAATAGATCAAAATCAGCCATAAGGTCAACATACAAAAAAAAGGGATGGTGGTTAGGTGGAATTTATGCAATCTTTTAGCCATGGGATGTACTCTACAGGGCATCTGGATGTATCTGCTGTGAAACAGACTCCAACCAATGACTTAGAAAGTACTAATACTTAAAAGCATGTCTAGAATTTTATCACAATTTCCCTGCACAGAAGGATTTCTCATCCATTATATCCAAAAATATCAGAACTTTAAGCAGAGGGAACATGGCCAACACCCCTGGCAGTGCAAAAACATCACTGCTGCATACAGGGCTGAGTTCTTCAACAAGGAAACAAAAGCACCTGTGGCACCCAGCCCGTGTGTGACCCTCCTGGGGCTCCCTCAGTCTGGGACTGCTGCCACCCCCTTCCCCATCAGCACAGTCTGGAGCAGCCTGTGGATCCCAGGGACTCTGGCTGTACTTCATGTGGAGTGTGGCTCCCAGAGGCAGCCCAGCTGCAGCAGCCCACCTGGAGGTCACTCAGGTTGGAGATATGAGTCCCACAGCACAGGTTGGAGTCGATGCCTTTGATGTCCACCACACGCACTGGCCCTACGTGGTCATCGGGCAGCCCCCGGCTCCTCACCTGGCAGAGAAGGGTGACAAAGAAGGTGACATCTGTGCTCAGTTATTCTGTTCCATGAATACCATCAGTTCTCCCCCACTGCTCACCGTTTCAACCTCAGGGTCATCTGCAGCCAGTTCCCTCACTGTCACAGGGACCCTGTCCCGGATTTTCTCGTTCACGCTCTTCTCCAGAGCCTCGACCTGCTCTGCTGTCACCAAGGGGGTGTCCAGCTCAATGACACTTCGCTGACGGCCCAGCTCCCTGCACCAAGGAAGAACATCTCCTGCTGTAGCTGAGACCAGCTGGGAGATCCCTTTGTGCAGCACCACCATCCCACTGCTGGGAATGTGGTGACTGAAACAAAACAGACTTCCCTCCTCTCCCTGTTATGTTCCAAGCACCAGGTGTAAACCAAACACTTAAGGAGGACAAGACAGAGCAAACACTTTGTACAGCTTCTCTCCAGGTCAGTCACCTCTCCTGCCATGTCCGAGTTCAAATGAGATAGCCAAATTGCTTATGGTGTTTCAGTGTTTAGGCTCTGTGCTGGGTAGCATGGTGGCACATGCTAAACGGGTCAAAAGGAACCTTTATCCTGCTCACCATGAAGTCGTCTTGAATCCAAACATCTGTTCTGCAATGGCACTGATGAGATGCTGTCCTGGAAGAGATGTGCAAGCACTAGCTCTGAGTGCCACTGGTACTTTCAGTCAGGCTGTGTCTTTCCTGTTGACATTCTCCATGACAGGCGAGTGCTGGGCACTGAGGGGCTCCAGGCAGTGCTCGGGAGGAGCAAGCAGCTCTGGCTTTGTGAGCCTCGGCTCCGGGCACTGCAGCACACGCTGGGGCTGCAAAGCAGGCTGAACTTTCTCCTCCAAACCTGTTTTCAGTGCGTTTGTTTACAAGACGAGGAGGGCTCGCAGAGGGGCACCTGCTGGAACAGACTGTGCACACAGCTGTCGGGTTTCTCCCCACCCTGACCGGGGTGCGGGCACGTCGGGCGCTGACCGCCCCCCTGCCCCGGTGTTACCGGGCGCCCCCCGGTACCGGCACGGACCTGAATGCTGCTGCATGTGGTCGAAGCGGCGCTCCCAGTCCAGCGACAGCAGCACCTCGGCGCCCGGCTCCAGCGCGGCCGGCACGAAGTGCACGGCCTCGGGGCCCCGCCGCGTCACGCGCAGCACCGGCACGTCCCCGATGAGGCCGCGATCGTCCGGCTGCGGGCACGGGACGTCAGCGCCGCCGGCACGGCCCGGTGCCCGGTGCCCGCCCGGCCCGGCCCGGCCCGTACCTGCCCGCCGCCCTCGGGGAAGAGGATGGTGTCCTCCAGCACCACCTGGAAGCCGCGCACCGGCTCCCCGCCGCCCTCGGGCCGCAGCTCCGCCGCCCGGCACGACACCACCCTGGTGGCGAACTGAGACAGAGACGGCGGCGCCGTGAGGGCCCGCCCGGGCCTGCCCCGGCCCCGCGCCCCGCGCCCGGCCCCTCGCTACCTGCCGGGCCCAGCTGTCCCGCTGGCACCGGAACACCATCGCGACCGCTCGGCACGGGCGAGCCGGGACCGTGGGTGGCGGCGGCGGAGGAGCGGGGACCGGCGGTGGCGGCGCCGTGCCGCGAGCGGGCGGGGCCTGCTCGGTGGCGCGCGCGCGCTCCCGCCGGCGGCGCGCGCTGCCGGGGCCCGTGCGGGTGAGCGGCTCCCGGTGCCCGGCGCGGCGGCGGCCCGAGCGCACGGCACACGGCTGCGACGGTTCACGTTTATTGCCCCGTGCCCCGTCAGGGTAACCGGCTACGGGAGACCGGACCGCGTCCGCCGCCCAGGGCCGGGAGCGCTGCCCGCGGCGACGGAGGAGCGGAGGCGGCCCCGCTTCCTCGGAGAAGCCTGCCCGCGCTGCTCCCGGTGCGTGCTGCCGGTGCACCGGCTGGCCTCCTGCGGCGTCCCCAGGGGCCTGGGCGTCAGTCGTCCTGCGGAAGGGAGGAGCGAGGTGCCAGGGACTGGGCCGAGACCGGGCCAGCCCCGGTGGCAGCGGGTGGCGCCAGCCAGTTGTCCCGGGGAGCGTTTCCACGCTGCCTCCAGGACAGGCTGCCGAGGGGTGCAGCTGCCGGTGCCCCGGAGCCGGCGGGAGGCTGAGGCTGAGGTTTTGCTCGGCAGGGCATCAGGAAGCAGCTGGCAGGTGGTACTTACATCCAGGTCATCCATGGCTGGCGGGGGACCCTTTTCTGTCACCTTCTCCAGCATCTGGATGGGAAACAAACGTCTGGATCCCCAAATACCCGGCGTCCCCCCATCCCACACACCCATGCGATGTGTCCCATGATCATGAGGCTGGTGGCCCAGCTCACCTCTGCATACTGTTCCACCATGGCCCTCTCCACCTCCTCGTCCCCTTCCCAGTCTCGCCAGTTGTCAAAGTCCACGGAGAGCCAGGCTGGCTGTGGGCACAGAGAGCATCCCCTGAGCAGGGAGAGCAGCACTACAGGGACCTGCAGCCCGGGGGCAGCTCCTGCACAGGCAAGAAGCCTTGTCTGATTGAGAGGGGCAGGAAGCAGGATCCCTTTTCCTGCAGGCACTGATGCTGATCCTGAGTATGTCAAGGAAAAGGGGTGCCACGTCCTTCCTGGAGGGCAGAAGTCTGTGGACTAATGGTGATTTATCAGGTATGGCTTTTTGGGAGCTCTGTCTTAAGTCCCCTGTGGGGGCCTCTGTGTCTGTCCTGGGGGCAGGTTGGTTCCTACCAACCATGAGGTGCTGAGTGGGGATAGCACAAGCACTGAGGCACCAGGCACCACACACACCTTGATGTTCTCCTTGGTGATGCGTGGCCAGGCCACTTTCTCCTTCCACTTCCTCATAAAGCATGTAATGGAGCGGTCAGAGCGCTTCTCCCGTGAGTCCTGCAATGAGATCAGGGGTGCCTCAGTGTCTGCTGGGCTCCTCTCTGCACAGGGTTAAAGCTCAGCCCTGTTCAGGCTGTGGGGTCACAGAACCACAGAGACAGGTTGTTTCTGGCCAAGGCAGCAGTGTGAGTATCAGCTCCAGGGCTGGGGCTCTCAGGCTCACCCCACTGACACTGTCAGGATGGGCAGCATTCAGTGTTAAGCAGTATTGCTCAAGACTGCACAGATTGGCTCTGAGCCTGACAGGCTGTCAGAGAACAGTTTGTTGGCGGGAAACCTCACCTTGGAGTTGACTCTGGCATACAGGTTGATCTCATTGTAGAACTCCACACCGTCTGCATTTTTGCAACTGCCAAAATATCACAACAATCAAGCTCAGGAGGGAGCTGAGGCCATGCGTGCTCTCCTCTCTCAGAGTCCTCCCGGTCCTCTGAACTACCCCCAGAGCAGAGCCGTGTCGGTCGGCAGGGCAGCGGCAGCTCACCTGAACACCAGCCGGTGGTCCTCGATGACGACCTTCACGTCCGTGCTGTCCTCGACACAGAACTCCAGGTACACGTACCGCGGCCGGTCGTACCACAGCGTCTTTGCGGGTTGCCTTGGGGCAGAGCAGAGCAGCGGCTATCAGCAGCGGCTACCAGCAGCGGGCATTTCCCGGTGCCCTGCAGTGCTCGCCCAGGGCAGGGGGCCAGGGGCGAGGAAGGGGCTCCGGACACGGGCTGGGCCGAGCCCCGGGACGGGCAGTGGGAGCCGGGCGGGTGCCGACCGGCCGGTGGGTAGCGGACCCTGGCCCGTGACTCTCCTCTGCCGTCCCGCACGGCCCCGGCCGGGCAGGCGGAGGGGCTCGGCCGGCCTGTGTCCGCTCCCCTCTGCCTGGCCCGGCGCCGCTCCCCGCTGCTCCAGGTCGGAGGCTCCTGTCGGGCGGTGCCTTTGCCGGGCACCGTGCACCGTGCACCGTGCATGGGTTCCGTGCGCCGCCTGTCCCGTCCGGCCGTGCTCACCTCGCCATGGCGGTGCCGACCCCGCCCCGCGCTATTTCGGGCGGGGGGCGCGGGCAGGGCAGGGCTGGCCTGGCCGGGCCGGGCCGGGCCGGGCCCGGGGCAGCCAACCCGCGGCCCCGGCACCGCCTCCGCCCCCGGTGCGCGGCCCCGGGGCCGCGGCCGCGCCTCGAGGGGGCGCGCTGGCCCCGCCCGTGGCCCCGCCCGCTCCCGCCCCGCAGCGCCAAGATGGCGGCGGCGCCGCGGCGCCGGTAGCGGCGGCTATGGACGGAGAGAGCGGCTCGCTGGGCCCCGGCGAGCGCTGGGCGCCGGTGGGCGCCGTGTCGGCGGAAGAGGACGAGGACGAGGAGGACGAAGAGGCGGCGGCCACAGGGGGAGAGTCGCCGGAGTCGGTGCCGCAGCTGCGGGCCGAGCGGCGGCGGCTGCACGGGGCGCTGCTGGCGCTCGCCTCGCACTTCGCCCAGGTGCAGTTCCGGCTGCGGCAGGTGGCCCGCGCCGGCCCGGCCGAGCAGCAGCGCCTGCTCCGCGACCTCGAGGACTTCGCCTTCCGCGGCTGCCCCGCGCCGCTGCCCCACGGCCTCGGCGCCGCTCCGGTGAGCCTTTGCTGGGCATAGCCCCGAGGTCGGTGTGTGCGCTGAGCCCCGCCTGGAGCCCGGCAGCGGCTGCGGTCCCGCTGCCGGGAGCGGCTCGGCGGCTGCACCGCCCGCGGTGCTCGGGTTTGCACAGCGCTCAGCACCAGACGTGCACAGGCTCCTGGTGACTCGGAGCCAGCTCGCAGGGATGTGCCCTGGAGCCCTGAGCGGTGTGTCACCGCTCCACGCCCTGGTACAGCACGGCTGACTCAGAGGATCTGTGATATGTACGTGTTATTTAGCTGCTTTCTTCCTGGATCCTGGGCTTGTGGGACAGGACATGGGTGCAAGCGGTCTGGGGAGGTGCTCCTCTTCCCTTGTCAGATGAGGTGATGTACCTGATACCTCTGCTTGGTGCTCACATTTCTCTCTCAGACTGGTTTGCAGTGCTGGCTAGTGTACATGAGTACATGAGCTGCAGGAGATACTCCTCACGTCATAATCCTGTTCTCTGTGGCTTAGGTATGACAATAAGTCTTCAATTTTATTTACTTGTAACTTTTTTTCAGGGTGAGCGAGAGAAGCAGGAGCAAATTGAGGTCCAGAAGGAGAAGCAGAGAGAGCTGATCCTGCAGCTCAAGACACAGCTGGATGACCTAGAGACCTTTGCTTACCAAGAGGGCAGCTATGATTCTCTGCCACAGTCTGTGGTTATGGAAAGACAACGGGTAAGGCTCACAAATCCTCCTGCTGTATTTCCTAGCCCTTGTGAGTGTCTTACAGACTGTCATCAGTCTGTATTTCTCAACAGCAGCTATAATAGTGTCAGGAGTTTGTCTACACGTGTGAACCTGTCATGTGTCTTTTGCAGTTATTTCTGTGCAGCAAACGTATCCTGTTTCTGAGGAAACCTCTGGGAAGGGAGTACTTAAAGCTCCCAGGCAGCAGTGCCACATGATGAAATCTCACTGCTCGCTTGTGTTCTGCAGATGATTATAAATGAGTTGATAAAGAAGCTGGACATGGACTTGAGTGAAGATTTTGCAACTCTCTCTCCAGAGGAACTGCGGCAGCGGGTGGATGCTGCCATAGCACAGATTGTGAATCCAGCCAGGGTAAAGGAGCAGCTGGTGGAACAACTGAAGACCCAGATAAGGGACCTCGAAATGTTCATCAACTTCATTCAAGGTCAGTGATGAGTTTTTGAATGAGCAGACTGAATTGATTTGTAATTCCCTGACATAGTAATGAGGAGGAAGGTCACGGATGTCAGGAGATGCAGGAACAGCTTCTGGGTCACAGAAAAGTACAAATCTCTCTAAACTGATGGTGAGGAGAAGTATTGATAGAGTGACAAAAGAGGTCTGGAGGAGACTGAGGAATGTTGAACTTAATACTTGGGATATGCAGCTGAAATTCACAAGTGTGAAATGATGATGTGAAATCCTTTTTGTAGATGAAGTTGGAAGCTCTGGCAAGGCAGAAGATGGCCACTGTGACTGTGGAGGCTCCTACAAACCTAGCACCCGGCCTTCTGGGAGCAGAGGTGAGCACTGCTGGGCTCAGCACTGTCAGCAAAGCTCCAGCTCCTCCCTGGAGCTTTGATAAGCATGAACCAGTCAGTGTGTGCTTTCTCCTGGCAGCTGGTTTCTGTGCTTTGGCACTCCCTCTGCTGAAGGCCTGTGTCCTTTTCGTTTACCCTCCTTCCATGGGATCCTCAGAGTAGTCACAGAGCTTGAGCATGTGGCATGGAGGGTGGGCTCTGTCCTCAGTGGGGGTCAGGAAGAGACTGCTGATACTTGGTGCAAAACACGCTGTAATTTGTGCTCTTCAAGCTCTGAGCTCTGTGAGCTGGTACAGTGAGCTGGGGGGCATCCAGTGTTCTTTAGAGTCTGAGACATCCCTACTTATCCCTTGAACCTGCTGGAAATAAAATAATGTAGCATGATGAGGCATCTGCTGCTACTCAGAATGCTAACCTGAAGAGATTTTCAAATATTTGCTCTCCCTTTGTGCGAATGAGCAAGCAGAGTTGTTGACTCCCTAATGAGAATATGTTTTTCTCTTTTCTAACCTGGTCAGTGAACCCAGAAGATGCCAGAAGGATGCAAGAAACGGGCCTGCAGCTCATGCGCCGTGTGCTGGCCGTGCTGCAGATCTTTGCTGTCAGCCAGTTTGGCTGTGCCACGGGCCAGATCCCTCGCACCCTCTGGCAGAAGGACCAAGACAACCAGGACTTCTCCCCCTTAATAGAGAAACTGGAGTTGTCGGTGGAGCGGGTGAGGCAGCTTGCCCTGAAACACCAGCAGGGAGAGCATGTTATCTGCTCCTCTGAGCTGCAGGACGTTCCCCTGGGCGGCAGGGACGAGCTGACCCTGGCTGTGCGCAGGGAGCTGACGGTCGCTCTGCGGGACCTGCTGGCCCACGGGCTCTACGCCTCTTCCCCAGGCATGAGCCTGGTGTTGGCCCCCATCGCGTGCTTGATTCCTGCCTTCACACCCTCACCGCGGACCATGCACCCCTGGGAACTCTTTGTCAAGTATTACAATGCTAAAAATGGACAAGCCTTCGTGGAATCCCCAGCTCGCAAGCTGTCCCAGTCCTTCGCCTTGCCTGTGACAGGAGCAGTGGTGGCTACCCCCAAGCAGAGCCTGCTGGCAGCCATCCACACGGTGCTCACGGAGCACGGCCCCTTCAAGCGCAGCGCGGACTCGGAGCTGAAGGCACTGGTGTGCATGGCGCTCAACGAGCAGCGCCTGGTCTCGTGGCTCAACCTCATCTGCAAGTCTGGAGCTCTGGTTCAGTCTCACTACCAGCCCTGGAGCTACATGGCCAACACGGGCTTCGAAAGCGCGCTCACCCTCCTCAGCCGCCTGAGCAACTTGAAGTTCAACCTCCCGGTGGACCTGGCTGTTCGGCAGCTGAAAAACATCAAAGATGCGTTTTGATGTGTTTTTATTGTACTTCATCCATTTTCCACTAGCAGGCAGCTGTTTGGCTCAAGAAGCCTGGCTTTTGTAAGACCAAGCTCATCTCTTTGGTATTTGCTTTTAGGGAAATTGTAGGGTGTCATGATGTTGGCAGTGTATTGTCTGATGCTGCCCCTGCAGGGCGGCTGGAGCCCGCAGGTTGGGCAGCACCTCGCCCTGCCCACTCCCTGCTGCTCTCAGGCCAAACTGCCCTGCCCAGTGGCCAGTGACTGTTCGGGGGTAGGAGGCAGAGGCCTGACCACGGGGCCTGCAGGTGGGGAAGGCCCGTGGGATGTGCAGCTGAGCTCCTTTGTGATTGTCTCTCACAGTCTCTGCTCTACCTTGCACACACGGTCCCTCATGGAGGAGGGAGCTGGCAGGTGTTGAGGCATCGTCACCGGGGGCTGCTCACTCACAAGGGACTTGACCTTCCCCAGTAGGAGAAGATGGGGGCCTGTGCCCAGGGGCTCCTCCAGCAGCTCTGCAGTCTGTGTCCCTTGGGCTGCCGGGGCGCTTTGTCCAAGGGACCCAGCTCCTTGTTCCAGGCTTTTGTGGGGGGTCAGAGCAGCCCGGTGTCCCGCGGGGTATATTAAATACTGCTGTACTCTGTGGGCTGAACCCGCCGCTGTCCTGTGTGCTCTGTCCGTTACCGGGGTTTTGACGTGGTGCACCACCATGCGCGGGGTGGGGGCGGCTGAGGCGGACACCGGCACCGCCGTGCCCGGGGAGGGGGTGGCTGAGGTGGGCACCGGCACCGCCGGGGCGGGGGTGACTGAGGACTCGGCACCGCCGTGCCCGGGGTGGGAGTGGCTGAGGCGGACACCGACACCGCCGTGCCCGGTGTGGGGGTGGCTGAGGCGGACACCGGCACCGCCGTGCCCGGTGAGGGGGCGGCTGAGGCGGACTCGGTGCCGGCAGCAGCTGCCGGCGGCGCGGCGGAAGTGACGTCGGGCGGCTGAACAAAACCCGGGCGCGGCGTTCCCTTTGCCTTCCGGCCCGGCGCCATCGCAGCGGAGCCTCGGTGGGTGCGGGCGAGCGGGCGCGGGATCCGCCGCCATCCGCGGGGGCGGCGGCCGGGGCGAGGGTGGCGGGCACGGTCTGACCGCCGGCTGCTGTCTCCGCAGAGATGGGGAAGTTCATGAAGCCGGGGAAGGTGGTGCTGGTGCTGGCCGGCCGCTACTCGGGGCGCAAGGCCGTCATCGTGAAGGTGAGCGTGGGGCTGGGCCGGCGGGGCCACGCAGTCCTGCCGGGGCGGGCGGGAGCCCGGGGGGAGGTACGGGCGCGGGGCCGCGGTTCCTCGGTGCTACCGCCGCCGCGGTTCCTCGGTGCTACCGCCGCCCCGGCCGGTTTGTTTCAGAACATTGACGATGGTACCTCGGACCGGCCGTACAGCCATGCCTTGGTGGCCGGCATCGACCGCTACCCGCGTAAGGTGACTGCTGCCATGGGCAAGAAAAAGATCGCTAAAAGGTCCAAGATCAAGTCCTTCGTGAAGGTTTACAACTACAACCACCTGATGCCCACCCGGTGAGTGCTGCTGCCGGCAGGGTCTTGGCTGTTCTCTGCTGAAAACCGAGAGTTACCAAGGCTGTTACCGCCGTGGTAT